TCAATTGAAAATTAAAGCTGCATTTCACTTCCATAAGATGAGTCCAGAAAAAGGGGAAGGAGAATTTGGTTTGTAGCTGCAAGGATCTGTCAGTTTCTTTAGTTAATCTTCTTTAATGTCCTAAACATGTACAACTTGTCAGTTTTGTGCAATTATAATTTTTGGAGTTATTGATTGCATGATGTTTATTCTATTGCAGACGCATCCCACACAATCGTGTTTTATGTCATCGATAGATGTTCACACTCAATACTCTTATCAGGTTTTGTACTCTCTTAAGACACCTCATCATTATCCTTACACGGTTCCGTATTCTTATTTTTACTTTCCTCATCTTGTTTTGGTCTCTGGAAATTTATTTATTTTGCATAGAGAAGTTGGGATTTAGCACGCTATGCCTGTTCATGCTTCCACCTAAAAATCTTCTCTGACGCTTACACCAATATAACGAGTTTTTGAGTTGTTTTTGATCAGTTTAATGCTCTTTGTCTTGGAAAGATTTCACTTCCTATAGATGCTGGAAATCTGTTCTTACACTCTATTGATTTCCTAAACAGATCATGTTGCCCGAAGCTATTGCAATTGTGATGGCGCCGAAAGATGGCTTGAGGTGAATGTAGTAGCTATACATACTTTGATAGTTAAAGAAATTCAATTTGATTACGAGTAACTCTAGATTTTCCATCATGCAGAACCCATGGCATATTCCGGTTAACAACTCCAGGTGGCATGAATGTCATAAGGCAATGCCCTAGACGTGGTTTTCATGCTCATGACCCTCCGTCTGATGGTAGCCCAATTTACAAGCAATGTACAGACGTTTATATGAATCCTAAGCAGAAGTTCGACGTAATCGATCTGCGATGACAACGGTTACACATTGTTTCATTTGATTTGCAAATTTATTTACTCCATAAGTGAATTTGGTTTTGGCCGTGGTGTTTGGTCCATCCATGAGATGTAAAAGTACACTCTCGTGTAACAGTAAAATATGCTACCTTCTTTGCAATTGTGCAGTAAAAAATATGGAATTTCATATTCTGGTACCCTTGCGTTCATTTAATTTTTTTTTTTTTTGTTTTATAATAGAAACCTTCAAATTGTTTACAGTAGAATTTAATTGACTTATCATGGAAAAGCACACAAGTAACCTTCTTGCACAGAATTACAAGGCGCAATGGATCTAACAGGTACCTTGCCAGATTCACGACTGCAACACACTAGTTGGAGAAATGCATACAGCATTGGATTCGGTTCAAGCATTCCTCTGTTTCTTCTGGAGACAAAGTAGTTGCAAAAAAGAAGTATCAGTGCTTGGATAATGTGCAACAGTTGCTGTTTTAATCATTTAGATCAACAGCTTGTGTTGCTGTTGGGCATTGATAAGGACTAAAGAGAGGTCCATTATTCCTCTGATATGTCTCTAAATTAACGATCTTTCGCTTTCCAGACTCGAATCGAAGCATTTGGGGAGGGAGCAAAAGCATAACCAGAGAGACAAAATCACATTCGTTTTTTAAGTGGTTCTGTTTTCTGGACATCACAACAACAATAATCCGCATTCCATGTGCACCTTTTTACAATTACAATTTGCGGTCATAGGCAAGATTGGTTGGACATGTTGGATTGGTTTAGTTGCAATATTTTTGATTTGCTTCCTAGTGCTTGGCCATTCGCAGATAAAGTTGTAGTCTTATGCTCTGCTAGAAGATGCTTATAGGACCCCTTATCTGGTAGGGGTGGGGCAGTCCAAGGTTGTGGCTAGGCGAGGGGGAAAACACTTGCAGCAAAGGAGCCATGTCTCTTCATTGTCTAGGTAGACAGCTCCCACACATGACAAGTAACAATTGTGGCTCACCTGTCAAAACTAAAACAATGACATAAAATAGCGGTGATATGCCTCCCATCGTTCTCCAACATGCCCTACTTCCCATGCCATAGGTGCATCATCAGATCAGTGACCTCGAGTTCACAGCAGCCGCAACAGGGCTGCTCTGCTTAACCCGTTTGGATTGCTATCTTCTCAACTTTTTATAGAAAAATATACTGTAACGATCAGACGTGTGTGAGGTAAAAAAACGATTGAAAAATATGATCACGAAAAATGTAAACATAATTTGTTGAAAAGCTTCAATCCAAGTTCTGATAAAATTTTGTAAATCAATCAGTCGTGATTATTTATTAATGTTTTTCTACAATATTTATAGTTCAGTCGTATTCATGGGGTTCAAAATAGTGATGATGCACTTGCCAATTTTTAGGCAAATGACTAGGTTCAGTTGTAGTTAATCCCAAACTCGTTCAATGATTTCAATATATATGGAATTGATGATCTCCAAATACTAATATCTTGATGTCTTTTTCCGATGACTGAGAAACTCAGACTTTTTCGTTACTAATATCTTGATGTCGAGAGCATGAAATAATGCTGTTTCGTGTGCAATAATTGTTTCGGTATCGTGTTGTCTTTGTTTCACGTATTCTTTTCTGACCACCAAAAAATATATATATATATATATTTTTCATGCCTTAAAAGAGAGAGGAAAAAAAAACTATGATATCTTTTATTGTTGGAAGTTGGAACAATATTAATTGCTCATCTGACATATTCAACTTAGATTAGATTTTGACACGTATCGTGTACTGAATAATAGTGTGGTACACTTCAAAACTTAATTACGTAATTAGCAAAGCATGCCAGAACTTCATTAATCAATTGTCGGGGATGATCCTATGTTAAAAAGTTAATCAATTTGTCTTCTTCGCTCGACACGTTTGCCACTCGGAGGCAAGTATGCTTAATCATGATCTGTCCAAGCAAATGATTATGAGCTAATCTAACACTTGAAGGCAAGTATGCTGTTGAACTGTGTGGTTAATCAAATCAAACCCATTCTGTGAAGTCTTTTTAAGTCTAATAACAATAATTTGAATCATAAACAGGTGAAGGGACCCCAAAGCCTACAATTTCTACATTTGCACATGCCACTGTAACTGGTTATGAATTATGATATTAACAGCTCACTAGCTAATCATTGCTCCAAAATTTTGTGTTAAATCCAAATTCAAATGTCCATGTATCATCTAATTTAGCATTCTAATTGCTCCAAAGGCCCCTGTCAAACTTTTCAACTAGTTTCAATCAAATGAAACTTCATCTTGAATAAAATATCATATCTTATTTCCATTATCTCGAAGTTTATCTGCTTTTAACTTGACCTTTTTCTTTTAAGTGAGAATTCTTGAATTCAGAATCTCTTATTTACAATCTCTTTTTCGTTACAATCCAATGCAATCCTCCCCCACGTAACCCTGTTGTTGTTAATTTCTCCCTTTGCGTGGTAATTTAATATTTGTTTCTCCTAATAAAATTTTACGAGAGTGTTTTGAACTTGAAAGTATATGTGACAATCAAATCCACTGTTTTTAGCCCATTCCCATTAATGAATTTGCTAGAAAAAACAAATACTCACCACTCAAAGATATAATAAAAACCCAAATTACAAGAAACCTTGATTTTGTTTTGTTGGAAAGGAAAACAACTCCAGTCGGTTGTTGAGATGGCAGGCCACCAAAACTTCAATCATGCAAGAAAAAGGGGTTTAACCACACCCCTACCTTTTTTCTCTCAAAATTGTATTTCGATGCTCATCCTGTTTCAAATGTACATACATGCATATACACGTCATTCTATTGCAGATACAATGTTCAAACACTGAATCCGAAGTTCAGTTATGCAGTAGACCTTGCAAATGAAGGATAGGTGCTGTTACTCAATACTTTTTTCAATTTCATCAGCCATAAAAAGAAATTATGTCATTAAGATGCAACAATTCCTCTTGATTGTCATGCTCTGTGTCGGTCGGATGATGAAATAAGAGTTTTTTTTTTTAGAAAAAAAAACTTTTGAATTGCAAAAATTTCAAATGTTTTAATACGTGAATCACTACGATTGTTAAGTGATATGGCAACTCACCATCGGACCCAAATCGAGGAAATGGTTTTCTAAAGGAATTATGGAATTTTCCTAAAATGATTTATTACATTGGCTTTTTATTTTTTAGCATGTTATCTAATACTGCTCGTTCGGCGACATTTCAAAAGATTCATTAAATTATAGAGTAAATCTTATATACATTGACAGTATATACACTATTACATTTGGATGCATGACACGTGTACAAAATTTGGGTTTCAAATTTAAATTCGGATTATGTATCATGCATCGAACGGTGAAAGTGTATACACTGTCAGTGTATAGAGTATTAATTCTAAATTATATAGTGTCAAATTTGGCAAATAATATAGAACTAAAGTAGCAACGAATATCTTAGTAATATACAATAAGGTGGCTTTTTTATTCTCTTAGATATGATCACAAAAATCATGGAAGTTTCAATAATAAATGTATTACAGAACAATTTTCACTAAAATATATTTTGATCCATTTGTTTTTATTGACCCCTCAATCGGTTTGTTTGGATGGTGTTTTATTTGCTAAAATTATTTGTTTACATCAGTAATACATTTTTTAACTACTTTTTTATCTCACACACTATCACATCAAGAAAGTGCTACACTGTTTTTTTTTAAAATAAAATAAAATTATCCCAAATAATCTACTAAAGTGCTACGGTATTTTGCTAGAATCAGCTCGAAAGCCACCGAGTCTTTTGCTTTAAATGCTAATCTAGTGCTAATCAGCTCGGATCAATCTTGTCATTTAGTATGGAATACTATTAAGCAGTATTAGATCTTCAATCAAGAAACAGGACATTGTGAAGATTCAGAAGAAATAACACATTCTGACAATTATCTCAGGATCACAAATACTTACAAAAGATTTGTCTTCCTAAATAAGTGGCAACAATTTTTTCAAATTTTTTTTTTTTGACATTTGGTTCGGAAGTCAAAAGCCTACAGAGTCAATAAGCACCAGAATTTAGCCAACAAAAAAGGAGGTTTAAGAGTAGATGCTGAGGTGCTTGTACTGACTGACTGGTCTACTACTTAAACTCCTCAAATCAGTTTTTCTTTGCCGTTGCAAGAAGGAAACTCTGAGTGCGATGAAACTTTTCTACCACCTTGCATCTCTCTCTTCCTCTTTTTCTGTCTTTTTGCCTTCTCCTCTACTCTTTCTCAAACTATTCCTTTCCCAAAACAGTCATAGTTGGAAAATTCTCTGATCTGTAGTCACTGAACACTTGTAATATTTATCCATGAAAGTAATCCTAGCAGTCCACCAGAAGCCCCAAAATTTTGACACTGTCAAAGCTCAGCTGACGTTTCTTCTTTGACTTGTTAAACAATCTTGTCACTTTTCTGTTTCTTCAAGCGGCTGTCGTTCCACAACTTTTTTGAATCCTTAAAAAAATTTTTGTTTTCTAAGTACAAGAATCCCATTTAGATTTATCCTGGATGCGCTTTTTATCATCAGGTCTCCCAAATTCTTGAGGCAAAAGTTAGTTAACCATGGCAATTGATACGAGCACAGAGAATTCAAGCTTGAATACAAGTCCAAGAATTTCATTTTCTCATGATCTTTGCCAAACAGATGAGGCCGCGGCTGTCGAAGATAAACCTTATCGCCTAGATTCTATGCTACAGCTTGACTCAGACTCGGATGATTTTGCTTTCTGCATCACCAGCAATAGCACTGGGGCTCATGAAACTTCTTCAGCTGAGGAGCTTTTCTCAGGTGGCCTAATTCGCCCTGTGCAGCTCCAAGAAAGGTTTGTTCATACTCCAAAAAATGCTTCGAAATCTAAAGCTCAGGCTCACCGGGTGCCTTCTCTTCCACCTCTTCCGTTTCTTCCTCAGGCAAATGGAGGCTCAAAGCAAGAGATTTTGCAAGAAAAAGAAACCACCTTGACAAATATTGAAGCAGAGCAGAAGAATCAATCAAAATCTTTTTGGGGTATCAAGAGAAGTAGTAGCCTTCATTGTGACAATAGTCACAAAAAGAGCTCATTTTGGTCATTACCACTATTGTCTAGGAGCAATTCAACTGGTTCTGTACCAAATTCAAAACAGGGCTTGAGGGAAAGTCAGAAACAGAATGCATCTTCCAAACAGCAGAAGAATCTTATGGGGATTTCTGCTTCCGCCTCTGCAAGTGCAAATGCAACATCAGCCCCTAGCTTTTATGTGTATCCATTGTCACAAAAACCTCCTCTCAGGAAGAATTATATGGGGTCTAATGGAAATGGGATCCGGATTAGCCCAGTGCTCAATGTGCCAGTTCCATCATCTCATATTTCCAAGGGAACTGCCAATCTCCTTGGTCTGGGGTCTTTTTTCCGAAACGGAAAAGATAAGAGGATGAAAAAATGATGATACTTTTGCAGTTTTAGCTGTAACATCATAATTCATCGTTATCTCCGAGCAAATGAACCATCTTGCAAGACCTTTTTACACGGTAGGTCTTAATTCAATCTATGCTAGTAGCCTGAAGAATTTGCTCATTTTAGGTTGTTGATGATGGATTGTTATATGCTAATGGTACGCTAAACATGCAAATTTTTTGCCATATGACATGGTCACAGATTCCACCTTGTCATGCTTATTAGGAAAGTAACCATCTTTTGATGAATTATATTGTCAAAATTTTGAAATATTATTGTACAAAGATATTTGATGAAGAAAAGTAGAGGGATATAGAGAATGGAAGATTTGGAATGGTCATGGTAGTGCATATCCGCATGTCACGAGCTTGGGGGACATAGAAGCAGGTAACCTTTATTCAAGGGCTGGCCTTTTGCTTCCCTCTTTTGGTTCTCTATGACATGCTCTCCTCTAGATTTTCGAGCCTGCAGCTTTCCGGGTCTTACTCTGATTAGATGTTTGTAAATCATGTATTATGGGAATTAGGTCCTTCTTTCCTTAGATTTGCTTTGTCTTTGCTTTTTGTTTGTTTCTGAGGAATGTGATTTATGCGTTAATGACTAGCGGATTTGGAGGACCAAATCAAACAGGAAAAGCCCTTCTAGGCTCTTTTAGGCTTTAACCTACTTTTATATTTTAAACTGTTGCGGGCCATGCTTTGGATACCTAACTCCATACTTTCCTCTTTGTTGAAACTCGAATAATGCCTCTGGGATCGATGAGTGAAGCTTTACATCAAGTCTTCCCAGTTTGCAACTCCAGCTTTTTTGACCACCGGATCCAGAGGAACAAACTACAGTTTGTACCAAGTGAGGGGCAAAGAAATCCTTAATAGGCCTAACTTTTCTATAATCTAATAACTAGCAAACCTTAAATGCTTTTGCCGACTGTGATCATTCCCTGAATTATTGAAGCCTTTGAAGGAATTTGCTCGGAAGCTATTGATCATGCCAACAGGTTCATAATTTATACTGTATCATATTATTTTCAGTCCGTATAACATGACAATAATGCATGTCAAGTCAAGCTATTAATGCTTCAGCTCCATGAGCTGAGCTAATTACTGCTTTGTTTAGTGCCATGTAACCAGTGCTGAAGCTGAAGAAAACTAGAAGAGTCCTTGATCAGATAATTTTCCGACAGTGAGTTATTTCTCTAATCTGTCTTGGACCCTGTTTTCGGCTATTGAATGCAGAAATCTCTTTCCCTTTGTCCTACAAATGTTCCAGGTATCAAGAATATGACGAGTTTCCACTTGACATTGATTGATGTTGTATCCTTGCGTATGTAATGTGAGTCAGTGTCCGTAATATATTGTTGATGTAAATACTACACCAACTTCAAGCCCTACCATACCATACTATTTCAATAGTTCCCGTTGAACCACTTTTGAAAATGAACCGTCAAAATTTGTTGAAGGGGGTAAAACAACCTGGCTATGAAAAACCCGTAGATTTACTACTGAGTTGCAAATCCTGCTTTGGTCCCCAGGACCCAAAAATAAAATTTGAATAGTGGAACATGGTGCATCTGCATTTTGCCTCCCACTGCAAAATCAGGGGGCTAAAGAATCCGTTGATGGAGGGCAACCAGAATTCAGTAGACATTTTTCTGGTGTTGGTTTGACTACCTTGGTTCTAATTTAAGCTTTTTTCATTAATGATGCAAGAATAGTAGTAACTTTTGTAGACTTGAAAGCACTCGTTTCATACCATTCTCAGTGGACAGAAAAAACTGTAGAAAATTCTTACTTTCTGGCAGTCAAAGACCACTAGCATCAATCTTACGGTCAATTGTCGAGACATCTGCGTCACGATTCTCTTGTCTGTACACATTTTATCGCAAGTGGTTGGACAAAAATGGTTGCCAACACCCTGCCTGTAGTCTCTAAAAATGGCTATTTATTTTATTGTAATAATAATATTTATATAACCTATTCTATTCTAATCTAAAGAAAGAGGAAGTCGACGAAATTTTTTCGTCGGAAAAATTCACAATTAAATGGCAAGGTGGAAGAAAAAGGTTGAATATTTGACCTTTCACTCGACTTAAATGTCTTGGTGGTATCAATAGTCCAAAAGGCTGTTGGCTCTAAAAATGGCTACTGACCCGGTGAATTTGGGCATGAATTGTGAAACTTCTATAAGGAAGGAACTTGTTTACTAGTCAATGGTTCACCAACCATAGGTTCAATGAATAAAATTTCAGAACGCCAAAGGTTCCACCATATGTTCAACATCAATTCATTAATTGTTCGTGACTTTGAATCTCAGACTGCTAACCCTTTGAATCGGTGGCCTTGCCATTGATGTTCGGACCGGATTGAACAATTATACAATAGACTCAATAAAGAAAAAGGAAAGAAGAGTAAAAAAAGAAACAGAAACAGAAATTGCCATTTGCCACCCCCATTCCACATTACATACGTATTAGCTTCTCATTTCCTCTCGTACATATGTACCTATGGTGCTGGTTTGCAAGATTCCCAAATCCAGCACCTGCGTAGCACCTGGTCTGCACAGATGTAGGACCCTCCCTCTTCCAAATGGACCAAATTTCAACCATGAGTTTAGATATGACTTCAAAAATTTCCAGTACAGGATCAGTGGAGTGCCTTTTACCTTGCATGCACAAAATTTTTATTGGAATCAAGAATGTGCATAGGACAAGAAAGAAGTAAAGAGAGACTCGTCCACGTGAACGCATCCCAGTTCAATCCAGTGAAGTGTCCTATCTACCTCTGTCTGAGGGGATATTCAAACGAATAGTCCTATAAACCTGGGGATCATTTTGACCAAAACTTTATCTGATGCGTGTAAATGACTAGAAGATCATAGGCATAGCTTCGTAAGGTAATGCATGACTCTTGAAGGTAAAAAGTAAAACCGTATTTTCTTGCTCGTAACAAGACAATCCTCGATGCATCAGAAAGGGGAGGCACAAAAAGGACAAGGTCATATGAAGATCAATTACCTACTGCAGGTTACTATTATAAAGGACAAGGCATAAAAAGGGACTAAGTTCTTTTGGTTTGGGCTGAATGTCAAAGATTTGGACTCCAACTGCAGTGAAAAAAATTCAAAAGAGATGTCCAAGCACTCCTTTGATCTAGTCAGATTTTTATACCTACTAGCCCCTTACATACCGTCTGTTTAGGCTCCCCTTCTTCTAAATTAGAATAGATTAGGTTATAAAAATGTTATCGTTACAGTAAAAATATATATATAAAGATCAATTACAGCTACATTATTGTACTATTTCTTGTAGTGTAGCAGGGTATATACCTTGGTCACGGCATATGATTCACTATCCTTAATAAGAAAGATAGGCATTGCTTTCTGTGACTAACTCCACTTGCTTCAAGAGATGGATTGAGTAAAAATCAATCCAACTCTGTAGCTTCCATGAATATGGCTTTTTGAATTTTGTCTCCTTTTCAAGGGTGGCAAAGCAGAATAATTAGCCACGCATCATTAATGCACCATGCACACTTGGAATTTTTAGCAATTATTTTTTGTTGGGGCTCTGTTTTTTTCTTTTTAACTAAACTCAAGAGACGTACGCTGATACACGTCTGCAAGGAGAAAATGCCGTAGCAACATCATCAGTGGTATTGCATAATTACCTGGACCACCTTCACTGGAAAAATGTACTGGATTGGGTGAAATGTTTCTCGGATAATTCAATGTTCATTAATGACAATCATATGCTCTCTAAGATAGTAAGTTGTAGGTGTCTAGATTTACTTATCTTAGTTTGGTTAGTATTTTCTGGGCAATCTTCCTTCTTGGTTTTTGGGGTTTTAATGTTTTTTGAGGGCTACAGAAAATTTAATAGCTATTGTTTCCTTTTTTTTTATTTTTAATAAAAATGATTTTACACCTCATAATCAAGTCACAATTAAGCCGTATTTGTTTTATAAAAACGTAAACACATTCTCAATCTATTTTCATTCTACTGCACTAGTTATTCATGTAAATTAGACCTGGTATTATCTAAGCGATGATCTCTACTTTACATCCTAGATTTCCATCCTTTTGTTAATCTATTTTAGGACAAAGCAATTTCTTCATTATATTTTTATACTACGCTAAAATCAAAAGGAGCAAATCTTATATACACTGACACTGTATATACTATCACGGTTAGATATACGATACACATGCAAATTTTGAGTTTCAAATTCAAATTCAGATTATGTGTCATGGATCCAATGGTAAAAGTGTATACACTGGCAGTGTATAGAAGATTAATTCAACCAAAAAATCAAGAGAAGAAGAGATAGTGCCATTGTAATGTCAATGGCTAACCTTTCAAGAAAAATAGAGTATTTGGATTGGAGATTATTTGGGATAATTTTTTTAAAAAATACACATTTTTTTGATGTGATATATGTGAAATAAAAAGGTGGTTAGAAAATGTGTTGATAATGCAAGCAAATCAGTGCGTGTAAATAAGATGTAAATTATGTGCAATTCAAACAAACTCGTGGATTCGTCCGTGATTCACTATTTTTTATTTTCTAATAAAATACGGTAGTAACAGCTGAGGAACAGAGCTATTCATTTCCTATTTCGTACGTTATTCATTTTCCCCATAATTGCTACATAAAATTGAGATGTCAGAAAAATCTACCCAATAATGAAATTTGGATTTGTACATTACTTGTCTACTAATTATTGCACAAAACAGTCTGGTTACATTCACGTTTATGTCTTATTGGAGCTTCACGATTTCCAGGTCGAAGCCGATGACGTCCAGCCCAAGGTTGAACTTGCAATTTTCCCTGGGTTGGCCCAAATAAAATAAGTGTCGGTTGACGAGTCCATAGTCCTAGGATTTGGTTAGTAGTCCCGGCCGAGACTTTGTAATCCAGTCGTAAGCTTTAAAAAAAAAATTTCAGCGTAAGTAAAAAGATTCGAACTCGAAACATCCAGTTGCTTACACTTTCTTTTCATACAAAAATTACGGGAAAAATCGCCAATTTAGTCTTCAAACTATTTCACTAAAGCCGATTTGATCCCTTAATGTTTTATCGCATGAATTAAGTCCTTTAACTAAAATTCTTGTGCCAATTGAGGACCTATACCGTGTCGTCACCCAAAACATATGTTTTTATACCCAAAACAACGGCGAGACAGGGACATTTTTGGAAACACAAAATACAAGATGCTAAAGCTCAAAATACGGAAAAAAAAGGGATGAATTTTTTTTGTGTCATTTTGCATATAATTCAAGTGCTAAAAAGCTAATCATTTTCTGTTCAGAAAATCAAACTGCATCTACTTGGTTTTCAAAAATGAAATCCAAATTACTTATTAAAAATTGATACCACATTTTTTTTTCTCATTTTATGAGATCAAATGAAATGATCATGAAGGGAAACAAAGTTTATAAACTTTCACGTTTATTTGTCCAAATAAAAAGGTTTAAACGATCTAACTTGATGCTATAACTACAACACAAAATAAAACTAGGATTGAGATTCCAAATTTATTTTTATCACAATCGGAATAGCAATTCTACATCAGTACTGCCATGATACTCTATATCACCACTCCCTAACAACCCTAGCAGAAGGCTAGAACAGAAGAAAAGCTAAAAAATGCTTGTCTCGTATTGCTTAATAAGAACATAGAATCTTCAACATCCATTGCTTTCATCTAGAATCTTCAACATCCATTGCTTTCATCTTCTTCTCATTTGTCGGCCTGCTGCTAGAACACAATCGTACAAGCACGAAATACAAAATAAAAAAAGGAAAAAAATTAGAACGTTTTATTTAAACCCAAGTGAATTAATATAAACCAATAAACACAGAAAACTACATAATTTCAACCTTTGGTTCAAGATGCTCCAGAACTTTATAACTCTCTGGTGTTATCACATTCAGCCAAGAACCAGGAAACAATCTCTATAATCATTTGAAGGAGAGAAAAGAGAAATATTGTTAAATCTAGAATCAATAAATGATTCTAGCAGACCACATACATGCATGCTTTAGGTAAAAATCACAAGAAAAAAATGAGGTAACTTACATCAAGGTGTTTCTGAAGCGACTTCTGAAGCGACCTAGACCTTTTCTTAGGCCTACGAGGTGGATTTGCCCCAGTCATGAGCAAGAAGTCGGTCTCAATCTCTTCATTTGAAAGAGTGGCTGAGAACTTTGGCCTTTGCAGCCCCCCTAAACTCTTGCTAGCCTCCCCACCATTCCATTTCTGTGACTGCAGCATGGCGGGGGACAAACCTACGTTTGACACACCATGCCCAGCCTTACCGATAGCCAGACGACTTCGCAAGTTCCAGGGCAACCCCTCCTCAAAGGGTTTTTTGTTATCCTCCCGACGATACTTATGGGATTTTTTTTCTTTCTCTTGATCATCGAACATCCTCAGTTTCAGGTGATTATCTATCGTGACTTTGAGGTCGGTCACCAGCTTCTCACGTACAGCTTCAATGTCGGTGGTTGTGTCTCCTCTTCCACTTGCAATTATTGTTGCTGAGTGCATGGTAAGTTTTCCTTTAGGGGTTTTTTTTGGAGAGGGACTGGCTGAGGTAGAGGAGGAGGTATGGGATGATTTGACACATCGGAGATGCTTTTGGCGACCCCATTTGAGCTGAGAGTGTAATATGAAGTTATGAAGGCTTCTTTCCGCAGTACCATCCATGTCGAAATAAAGGAGAAATATATGCTTAAAAAGCTTGCCTCCGTTGATTTAACTGTGTAGATTTTATTTGGAGTGTGTAAACGGGAGAGGGAGGAGCGTTTATATAGAAAGAAAGGATGAAGAGTAGAAATGGTTCAAAAAAACCAAAAATTTTGAGTAATGGTTTTTGGATGTTTGTGATGATTTTTAGAGCTTTTGCACTAGATTTTGATGAGGGCGGTTGCAAACTTTGTTTTTCTCTCAATGCCTTTATGAGAAAGATTAAATACAGTTGAGGAAACGATGGATTTGAGTTAGGGGATCCAATTGTGAGCAAGTGGTTTACTTTTATGGGGAAGGGAAAAGAGGGCAGATGATTCAACTGCAATCATCCTAATTTGGTCAGATATTGTAATAATTTTGACACATCTTTGCTCTTGGAGTTTAATTTTCCTTCCGCCTTTGCTTGGCCAGCCATAATAATGCATATGGAAGTTATTGATGGCAATTTAATAGGCTAAATTAGGGAAAAAACAATATTTTTGGTTGATGTGGACTGCTATCATTTCTTTTTGTTTTTTCTTTGTATATGGGCTTTATTAAATTTAATTTAATTTCGAATACTAGATAAATTCTTATTTCCAAACTACAGAACTAGCTGTTGATAAATTATTGTTAGGGGTTTCACTTTCCTTTTTTAGCTTTACAAGGAGCAAACAGTACTGACATTAAATATTTCGATCATTAATATTCATACTATTGATTATCACATCTATCAAAAAAACAATTTCCTTAATGGAGCTTTTCTAACAATAAATGTAAAATCTAGTTAAGTGATTCAAAATCTAATTTTGGACTTTTTAAATTCAAAAAGTTAATAAGCAAAAAAATTTTTTAAAACTATTTTTGCGAAGCGGATGAGGCTCACCTATAGGGAGATTATGAGAATTGATACATATTAATATTGGTTTAATGGACCTGTACATGTTTATAATATTAATACTCGAGGCACCAATTAATTAATGAGTGTTTTCAAAGCATCTTGAGACAAACACACTAATGTCGTAAACATTTGTTTTTTTTTTTTTTTTCACTTTGGTCTTAATTCGTTATTTTGTGTCTATCATGGAAGTTAATAAAATTATAATTAATGTTAAACCATGAAAATGCTTTTTCAAGCTTTTGACAACCATAAAGTAACTTCTTAGTTCCCCCCCCCCCCCTAAACATGAGGTAACTTTATATGTTAATTCTTGAAATCAAATTCTATGATAAGTTACTGGATAAGATTCAATTGCAATTTTAGTCCCTATTTTTTGAATTGTAAGCCGTTCTGACCTCTAATGTTTCACTAGAACATAGTTTGTCAACTTTTTTGTTGTGACTAATGGAGGACAATTAACAAATTATACAATTGCTGATATAGACGATCAAATGTGTGTTCTTTTTGGAGGCAAATTCCTAGTAGTATGATTGTTTTGATTTCTACTATTTGGGGTGTTGAACAATTTGCCCTCAAATTTTACCAAAATTTGATATTTATGAAACATTTGGGACCATATTGCAGTAATTGCCTTGAATATCTTAGACCTAAATTGCAATTTCCCTGTAAAATGGTTTTGAATAACAACATGACTATGAATCTATGATAGATATTCGGTATCTAATATTTGATAATGGCCCCATTTTTATTGTAATTTTTTTCTCTCAAAATAGGGAGGAAGGAATTGGAGTTTTACCAACAGAAGATGGATTTCTCATGTCACTAACCTAAAAGCCTATAAATTACTTTGTTAATAGATACCAATGAGTTCTTTTTGTGGATACAGGGATCACTTTTTTGACGTGTCGTATTGATATTCTTCCTCAAGTTATGAATATGTGAGTGCAAAAAAAAAAAAAAAAATCTAATTTTGTCATGAATAAAGTGATAGCTTTCCTTGTGAAAATTCATCATGGATCTCTTTCCAATTTAGTCTCTCATCTCCAAAAAATAAAGTCAATATAGGACTTGTAACAAAAGGTTGGAAAATTCTAACAATATTTGTTGCATGCTTGAGATGCGCATCATTAAAAACTATTTTGGCATATTTCTTTGGTGTCGTAGATAATTTGGTCTCTTATGAGTCATTTCCTAACAATTTAATTACACTATTTACACAAAAATAAAGTTAGTGGAGGACTTTTTTCCTTACATAGTTGAACATATGCATCATTAAAACATGGACCACATTTACCCTTTCATTATTTCTTTTTTCCCACCAAACATAAAAAGAAGAAATTGAAATAAAAAATAGATAAATAAGAACCAGAAAATATCATTAAACATTTGATTTAAAAACCTATAATGATATTTGTAATAAAAAAAGATTTGGTATTTTTTGTTTCTTATTTATTTGTTTTATATTTCTTACTTTTATATTTGGAGAAAATTAAAATTTTGTACACCAAAGTATATGTTTTCAAAATCAGCTCTTCTCTTTTAAGAGAGGGAGAGATAGAGGGCAAAAAGGAAAAAAAAAAAAGAGGTAGTGAAAGGGTGAATTTGTCAATTTATCAATTTAATTTTTACCGTTGATCATTAATTTTAACGAAAAAATTAATGAAGACATTTTAACCAAAATCATGAAAGTTATATATAGATTTTTAAATCATATATGAATTATGTGTCAAGGATCAAAATCACACAAGGGTCAAGGGGTAAAAGGTAAGTTACCGTTTCTCAGGCCTACGGGGTGGCTCTGCCCCACCTTGAAAGCTTTCATTTCAAAAAGCATTGGAGGAAATTTAGGCTTTTGCAGCCTTGCTACCCTCCAGCTAGCCTCTTTATGTGACTGCCTGGTGAGGGACAAACTTGCGTCAATCTCTTCTTTTAAAATAAGTTTTAGAGTATGCCGTATAATACTAATGTAACTGACGTACACAGGTCCCATATCCACACTAACTGAATACTATAATATTTTTTTTCTATAAAATAGTACTTACAACAATTTTTCATGAATTCCGTTATATTCAAAAGACATTTTATTACTTCATTGACCCACGGTCATACTCAAAAGGGGTCATATCATTAAAAAACGGTTGCACTAATAACCTTTCTCCTGTCCCCTCAGCCTCAACAACTGCGCTTTGCCAATCCATTCGTTAAATTAGATCCATGGTTCACAGAACTATCTTATTTGAGGTTGGGGGTGGAATGGGGTTGATCAAGCGTTACAGGCTCGATGCTAATGGAATTTTCAATTTGTAACTTCAAAAATTTAATGAAACACTAATTTAATCTCCGGTTCTGTTCGGTTCCCTCACCTTGCTTTCGTTGTTAATAATAATCATTTGCGCTTTGCACTAGAAGCCGTAGAAGGAAATTTACAGCAACCTACATCCCCCCACGGTTTGGACTATGATCACCAGCCCTAGCCCTATTCACAAGAAGCAGAAACTGTGCAAACTATAAACGTCAAAAGTCATGGCCAAAGCTGAGACATTTATCAATCAGTCAGTTTACCATCTAAAGTCTTCTATTAACCGAGATGGGGTCCACTTTCCCAATAATTTGTCAGCTAATATGACAACTACTCTCTCTACAAACTTCAAAAAAGAGAAAAAGGGAGGGGGGGAATGGTTACAAAAATTTTGCAATTCCTGTACAGTGCTATTTACAAGTTCAGATTCTCTGACCCGTTTCAAGAGGGTTCAACCTCATGATTGGATGTAGAGCATTCAAAATTTGCAGATGCAGCCTTGATGACCCTTGTATTATATGATCCACAGAATCCACACTTGTGATATAACCAATGGAATTGAGCTGCACCTTCCCGCTGACAATCGTTACAGAGGATATCCTAAACGACATTTACAAGAGAGCAATTTAGGAAAAAATAAAACTAATTTAAAAGGCATAACCTAGCAAAGAACATCTGCGGCAAGATGCAAGCTACCTTTAATGGATATTAAGTTAAATCTAGAACAAAAAGTGTTTCTATATAATTGAATTACAGAAGGATCGTTAACAACTACCAATTAATGACTTGGATAAAAAGTCCTGCCTGTTTTCCTCCACTTGCATGCTTGCGAGTGTCTGTGCATGTTTTTGTGTGTTTGCATGTATCCCTATGTGTATCTAACTAAAACTGCCCATAGCTTCTCACTGAAGAAGCATAGGCCTCAAGGCATGAAAAAGAATGTGCTCAGACCTGCTGATGGCTCCTATATTCGTCTGGAAGCACCTCATTGGCCAGCAAAGCATCGAGCATGCCAAAGTATACCTGGGTGAAAAGGCAGTTATAGATAAACCATAAGACATCAACATATTCACCTTTAGAGTTCTTTAAAAATGAGTTAGTCATGTGAAAGTCTAAAATGACAAAGCAGCCACTCCCAACCATTCAAGCGGAATGCTTTACATCATTAAAGAATACAAAGTCTGAAAATCTTGTAGCCTATTCAAATGGTAAAAAGATGTTGAAAAAAGAAAAACTTGGACAGATTACCAGGTACCAACAGCACAGAAGAACAGGGGAAATAATCATTATATACTAAAATAGTTCCATCATCAATGCAAAAACACGTATGAGCCTTTGCTTTCTTGCAAGTATGGCACCTATAAGGTTATTTATACCAAGAAGAAACAAATATACGTAAGAGGGAAGGAAAAAGTATTTCTTACCGCCATGTCACCCATGGATTTACTGCATATTGGACATATATAGTTACTGCGAGCATATGCCTAGAATATGACAAAAAGTAAACATAATGAGAGTCGAGAGACAATCAGTGGTGTATGAGGGCATTTTAATCTATGTAAAATAGAAGCAACAGACCGAGCATAACAAAAAATAGAGAATGCTAAATATTCAGAAAACTTAAAACCTGAAAGCATGCTGAATGCATGTAATGACCACAAGGTAGACATCTAACTGTTGCGCTGGAAGTGAACAAAAATTCACAGCAAATGGGGCAATTTGTCTCCAGAGCCTTCTCCAAGCACTTGTGATCTTCCAACTTCATAGCCAGACAACAATTGCATTTCATGCAGTGAAAAACGTCAACTCCAAGACCCTTCCCAAGACGGCATAAATTGCAAGATGGACAATGATAAACATCCCTGCAACAGGGAAGAAAAGAAGAAGAACTACTGAGTGCATTTGTTATGAAAACAACATACAAATCACTAGGTAAGAAAGTCCAAAAGATTTCTAAATTAATCAAAATGCTGAACAGGCATGAAAACTTCCAAATTGGCATGAGTACTAATACTACTGAGAACACTCTAGTGTAAAACAACAGAGAGAGTGTGTGTGTGTGTGTTTTGTTTTACAGTATACTAATTCCTTTATCTCTCCCTACAGGTGCACAATTATAGTCATTATTTAAATGTTAAAACAGCCAATTCAATCCCCAACCGAAAAAAAAAAAAAGAGAACAGAAAACATATTTTGAACCTTGACATAGACCAATAAACATACAAAATCAATACCACAAAGCATTATAATCCACATTCAATACAAAAACCATCATATCTGCAAAAAATTCCACTATAATAAGCATCACAGGATTCATTGTTTCAGTGCTTATTGTGACAAATTTGACAGTGCTTAAAGTCTGTAAGTACAATCTATCATAAAAGTTTTGTTAGATGGTCGAAATTAGGGGAACAAAGCTAGGAAGCATAAAAGTCAATAGAACAAAGACGAATTCAAAAGTATATCCTGGCCTTTCTTAGCTTCTCCTAGCTATCAATATTTTAAAAGAACAAACCATCGAAGATAAGACTCCTTTTTATAAAAATACTCACAAAGATTCATGCAAGTGAAGCGGGGGCACAGCACACAGGACGGAGAAGAGATAGAGAAACAAGAAACCCAAAGAACTTCTGATTAAATTGTTCTAAGCTTCATTAAATGTTAATATTGCATATCCCATCCTTTTTCTCCTTCCAGCGGACCATATACTGAATTTCTAATGTTCACCAACCAAAGACAATGCTGAGATAAACCTGTTGTAAAACACATCTTATGGTGCCTTACTCTGTTTATGGATTATGAAAACACGAGTAGAAACTAAAATGACAATCCTGATTTGCATCATCGCACACTTGTTCAATGGAAACAATGCTGCATCACTTATCTGTCATGTAAGTTTAACTTTAATTGTGGGTGAACAGGAATAATTCCACCACTAAACAAGTTTTATGGTGGTGGTACAAAGAAATACAATAAAGTGACTACGAGATTACAATGAGGTGTTTCTCTTATTGATTTGTAAATATTGTTATCATGATTTTCATTCATGGATATCCATTATCTCGGTTATTGGTTTTTATGGAAGAAAAAGAGCAAAGAACAACTTTTGCTTTAAGAAGTGGCAAATTCATCTACCTTTCATCATCAAAAAATTTGCATATGCTGCAATAGTATTTTGCCATGGAAAATCCATTGCATGAAGGTGTTGAGCAAACTGGGCCAATTGGTTGAATCTTCTGGCAAACCATACACATCATCTCTACTGTTGCTTTCCTGCAAAGGTGGAATGAGAATGAATAATGGAAATAAAGGGCAGTATAGAGATCCTTAATTATGCAACTTTTCTTTACCTTTCCATGGAGTGGTCGCTCACTTCATCATGACAGTATCTACATGTGAACAACTTCCCACAGCAAGCAGCACGGAGTTTACAGTTTCTCTTATAGTGTTCACACCCAAAAACTTGTTTATGTGTATCCCGAAATGAAGGTGAAAGTCCAAGAGTTTCGTCACTGACTGAATTTTCATCCATTGATACTTGTGATTTCTGCTGAGAAGCTATCCAACGACTACAAACAAAAACCAATGAAAAATGCTACTTTCAGAGACCATAAAGCAATTTATCAACATCTAAGTATTTAAAAACAAATAGATAAAAATCAGTGACACCAGTAAATAGAAGAACCCACATTTTGCCAAAAATTTGAGAGTACAGTTTTGAAGCATACCTAGTCATAAGATTCTGAATCAGGTATGCTTTTCTCCTGGGATCAAGAGTGGAGTCTCTGTGCACCTTTCTAATCTCTGATTCAAGTTCAGTTTGATTCATGCGGAAAATATCTTTCCAACCTGGTTTAAACATCTGATCACCCTGATCCAAGGTTTCCTGAGACTGAGTACCTATAGAATGTTTGAAACTAGACTTGTAATTCTGACAGAATATATCCTTAGAATAAATAACTAATGGAAAATCATAGTTTTCAACAGGACAGGAACGCAGGGCAAGAATTATATGAAACCTGTACTAGAACTGCTGCTATCTGATTTGTCAGGTTGCCCAGATAATTCAGGAGTTCTTTTATAGCAATCATTAAGCCATTCACTGAACATTGTGTTTCTTGTAGCCTGCTTCAGTGTGTCCATCAGATTATTTTGTTCATCCTGTGTTAGAGCAGAAGTCACCCAAGGCAGCATTGACTGAAGTACTTCAGCACCAGTGGTTCCAATTATCCGACCAACAATTTTGTCCTGCTCCTCCACGGAAAAATGTTTGCCAAACAGAGGCCAGAGCTCAAGTTCTTCCCGATATATATGCTGATGCAGGCTGACTCTGATTGATTTGCACATGCCTTGAAGTTTTGTTGCCAGCTCAGTGTATTTTCTCCAGCAATCCTCACCGTAGACAGAATTATCTAAGGAAGTCAGGTTAAGATCCTCAATCTTACTATTTCTATTCATGCCTTCATGAAGTTCTGATAGGTCACACAGCACGCAAGATATGTCTTCAAATAATTCTTCCTCCTGCTTATGGTCTAATGTATAGGAGTGACTTACATTATGGAGGGCCTCTTTAGATTCAAGTGCTGGGAACACTATTTCATCCTCGGCATTACTATGTGCTCTATATAAACCCCAAAGTAGTTGGAACCTTCCAACGAACTGCTGAAGGGTAGTCACGTCACAGTAACTAAGCTTACCAGATTCAACATCTAAATACTCCAAATCTTTCAGTATTGCTTTATGAAACTTAAATATAGTATCAATTGGATGCACGATGCGGTCAACACCAGGAGAGCTATTATCAGTCTCCCAGATAAAAAGGCTGGAGTTAAGAGAAGGTGCAGAAGAACTGAAGGACAGCGGACAAAAAGACTTTGGGGTAGAAATAGTGTTCAGTCGCAAATTATTACCATTAACTCCCAACCCTGGAACACAACAGGACTGTTCATTACCAGCTGAATGAAGAGAGTTTTCATCTACTGAATTTCCACACAAAGTCTCCTCTGTACTAGGAATTGGGAGATTTCTTTTTACTGGTCGTTCACTCTGAAAAACATTTGTGCATGGACAGGATCCTCGGATGTAGTTCTCTTCTATATCAAGGTTAGTATATCGTCTCACCAAGCAGCCAGTGACATTAGAGGACAAGCATATGCCTTTATGTTGACCTTTACATGCCCAACCAGAGTATAGAGTAACCAAAGCAGCATCAGGTGGTGGTGCTGTGCAATCAAATACATGCAAGTTAGAAGAGAAATGACTATAACTTTTTGGATTAAAACCCAGACAATTAATCATACATAAATGCATTACCTGCCAATTGCATATTCTTCAGGAAATTCCTTGCTTCATCCTCAGTCAAATATCCTACCAACCATGGCAAGACACGCTCAATCAACTTTAATGGCATCAAACTCAGGCTCTGGTACAAAAGATCCCTCTGTCTTTTGAAGGAAAAATGCATTCGAGCAAGAGGAAGAACCTAAATATTTTCCAAAAGCATAATCAATGAGCATTCAAGTCTTGAAGGAAATATTCAGTGACAGAAGTTAAAAGCCATTCACAACTACATAATCTGAATTTGTCCTACTAATTAGTCTTGAAGTATTGAATGTTAGTTGTAATTCACAAATAGATCAGATCATGAGTCCTCACATATAAAGTACATCTAACGTATTTTTTGCAAGTCGAACTCTGGTGATTTTCATCCACATATGCAAGTTTATTTTGCTGCTCCATGACCTTGTTATCAAAGCATACATTGCAAATCCGACTACTGCTAAGAATGAGCGTACCTCTGTTTCCTCATTTTGGAAGTGTCTCTTGATGGTTTCAATTATTAAATCAGCTTGGGAACATAGCTTGGTGAAAAAGTCAGCAGCTGAAGCTGAATTGGCACCTGAATTCTGAATATTTTCAATCAAGCACCGTAGCTCATTAAATTGGCTTTCTTCCTCAGCATGCTCCTCGAAAAAGGAGACTCCTCCATCTACAGCAGGGAATATTACTTTGTCCTCAGCAACACTGCAATTTATAACACAAAACCTTACTACTAAGTCAGAAACAGAAATGCAATCTGATTTTAATGACAGAAATTTCTTTGGGAACTTAAAGAGTTATCGACAAAAGATATGTTCCATATGGAACTCGACATCATGAGTGCAAACATAATCTGACAGCATCTTATTTGCAGTAAAATTGAGAAGAAAAAGCAATCATGCACAACTTTAATACCTGTGAAAGATGCAAACCTCAGCAATAAACTGTAGTCTTTCATAGAATGATGTCAGATCAGAAAAATCTCCACAGAGCTCAATTTTCCTAGCCTCATCTGCAATGTCTTCTAGCTCTTGTTTAATAGCATTATGCCAATGCAATATTTCATTTATCGGATGATCACCATCCAAATCAGATGCATCATTCACAGCAACTGTATGTTTTCTTTTGCCAGTCCTTGAAGGTATACATACACACTTTTTTCCCCCCGAATGTTCGTGACTCGCTTTGCTAGCACAAGAATATAAGGAGCGTTGGATCTGAGGGCTGACACTATTGCTTGTAACAGTAGTGGTGGGTTCTCTATGTTTTATCCATGAGAAAATTACCTTCAACCAAAGATTAGTCATCAGCCAGAGAGTTGCTAGCATAAAGGCAACGGAAACTTGAGAGAGAGAAAGAGAAAGAGAGAGTTCACAGAATTTAATTAACAAATATAACCATATGTCTCTTATCGAACACGAGACTACCTGTTGAAGGAGTATTTCCCTTGGAATAATCCTACACAAGCACTTCTGCATCTCCTCATTCTCATCAGGTGAAATAGAAAAGGAAAGCCAGGGAAGGAATTCTTTCAGCTTATCTACTGGAATGCTACACAAAAACTGCCAAACCAGGGATGCCTGCTCTTCAACTGAGAACTTTTCTATGAGCAGAGGAAAGACCTGTATGGAATAATACTCTAAGTCAAGCCCCAACATATCAAGCCCAAAAGCTGGTGTTCTTGAAATTCAAAATTCAACAACCAATCAAAAATGCCAGATGCAAGGTGATGAATAATTCAAATAACAGAAAACAAATCTCCAGTTATAAATCACCAAATGACAAGCTCAAGTCGGAACAGTACTCCACATAAGCAAAAGGAACACAATTGAATAAAATTGACAATTTTCCATCACCCAGAGATGGTCCATTTGCATCTGCGATTATGGAAGCATGACAGTCTGAGCTTTTAAACCCAAAATTCCACTAATTTTCTGACCAATGGCAATTTACAGATTGACACAAAATGAAATAAGATTTGACCCCATTACCATCCAAAGACGTAATCAGATTGATGTTGAGTAAAAAAGAGTTAAATATACAGCATTGCAACTTCTTGGGTAATGACAGATGTCATGGTCCTCTGTAAAGCACATGATGTTTTACATACAAGTGATTAGGCAGCCATCCCACGGCATATGAAGCACATTTATGGCGGACATGAATAAATTAACTCTTGCACTTTCCCATCTCGCGGGAAAAAGTTTCAGAAATTGCTGAACCACGCAGCTTGTTCTTAAGGAATTCAATTTGGAGGCTTTACTGGTGAAAATTCTCAAAAGGATATAAGGCTTCGGATCATTAAGAGATTCTCCATAGCTATATGGATGCCAGAAAAACTCACAAAGTAAGTATTCTGCTCTCTGGACAAAAAAAAAAGTTCCTCAACAGGCAGAAGAATTAAGTTATCCAAAGAAAATTATTGACAACTATACGTATTAGTTACTAGAGTTTGCTTATAGAGTTCAAAGCACCAAAAACAAGATTCCAGTTGAAGAAAGGAAAAAGCAAGAAAATATGAGCATCACAGACTTTAAGCATATAAGGAAAGTAATAATCAAAAGGAATAACAAATTATCCAGAAGCTACCAATTATGTTAAGCTGGCGGTAAAGAATATGCAAGTTAGATAAATGACAAAACCAGAAGGAGCTGGTATATAGCTATTACATGTCCTTCTGATTTGAAAAACCCAATGAAAACATTAGGATATCTAAACTGACAATTTAAGAAAATGTTATACACTCCTGAGAAATTCAAACAAGCAACAAAATCTGAGAAGTGTTTTTTTTTTTTTTTTGCAAAAGATCTCCAGAACATTCTGATCAAGAAAAGCATCGAAATAGCTGTTGAATACCTGTTCCTCTTCCTTGGACATATGCTGGCCAATTGATGTTTGGAGTGCTCCACTGCAAGATGCTAACTCCCTTGCAAAATTCTCATTTTTCTGTTTGTTAGGATTTAGCAGCTCAAACAAGTGATCAAAAAGGTCACTTTCACCTTTGTGCTCCAGGGAGTATGTTGGGGCTACATTCTTCACACGTATATCAAGAGCTGGAAAAATGACCTGGTATGACAAAATTTTGAGCAATTAGTTTCCGAAAACACAAAAACTGAGATTGCTCAAGAACAAGCTCCTTTCTTATGTTGCTTCAAACTAGTTATCAGTAACAAAGGCAACCTCAAATGTAACATCAAGCAAATTTACTTGCACTGAAAGTGGTCAACACAAAAGTTGGATGTTAAAAGGTCAGATTCTTATAGGAACAGGCTCTGTGTACATTATATACTGGAATGCTTGATTCCTTAATGCAGGCAGAATAATACCAAAAGGAAGCTCTCACTTTGTGCTTGTGTACATAGGGCATCTACAGAGGGTACTATAGTCTTCTTGCCAATTAAATGAATGTAGGTGATTCTTTCAATTATAACCACAAAACAAATAAAATAGTAGGAATAAGTAGCCTAAGTTGGCCACCATGTGTAAATGTGTTTCACCCTTTTGAGATACAATCTTGCATTTTCAAAGAAAAAAATCTTTGCATTTTCGCCCTTTCCAAGTGCATAATCAGTATCCTGGATATATAACATAAAACTAAGTGAAGGGGCAAGGCAAGGTCAAGAAACTAAACAAGGTAGAACCTCAGCTTCAAATTATGGAGGGTCCTAAATAATTTGAAACTAAGTACATTAGATAAGCAATACAAGATAAAATAAAGATGCAGATAAGTGAATAATCAGATTTATGATAAGGAGAGACTTCTATCCAAACCGAATGTTATGAGAGCAACAATCTTCCATGTATCTCCTACTGAAAGACCTATTACCACACAGAATTCTGAAAATTCAGAAGCTCATGTTATTTTATAGCTTACAACATTCAGTGGTTCCAGAAATGTTTGCTGCCCACCCAACCAGAATCAATCTCTTCCTTCAAGACCTACATCCTCCATTAACTACAGACATTTTAAAAGTTCCACATTACGCACCTCTAGGTTTCAACACAAAGTTCATTGATATTACCATTCCGGGTATTAGCTGAACTCCTTTTGCCTTCTTCAAAACAAGAAAAAATAAATCTCAATGACACTTGTTTTGCTACGCAATCATTACAGTAATCAGGAACAATCAAGTGACCAGAGCAGGTAATAGGGCATGTGCCTTATCCTTCAAGAGAGATATTGACTGTGTCAATATGCTGGACGTTACTTATCTCTTGTCAGTCAAAAAGAGATCGAAACTACTTCAATGTGGATCCTCATTACTAGATTAGAGCCCGTCAGAAGAGGAAAACTATGGTATAATCATATCCCTAACACGCTACTAGCTCCTTCAAAATAAATTCCAAAGGCTAAAGGGAAACAAACACCTTTTGCAGAATCAGATGCCGAAGACTCAGCAACACAAAAACACTTTTTGGCACCTGCACTTTCTTCTAGTCACTCGAGTAAAGTCATGCAATGTGTAGCTGCTACAATATACCTTTATGTCCTACTTCACACTAAACTCCAAGAAGAATCTCCATTCATCATCATTGAATGGTTTATCTCAAACAAAAGGAGAGGTAGTACTCATGCTCCAAAGTAAATGTACATCTGGGTCTAAATGCTAACAAATAAATGGAGAAGCTCCACAGCCTCTCAAGTCTCAACACGTGGGACCATAATTGTGAGACCATCTTGGTATCTACCGTACAAGGAAGAGAGATTAAGGAAAGGGGAGAGCAAGGAAAATGATGTTTTTCCTCTCCTTCAAAGTGAATCCCTAGCAACTGCAATTTTACAGCCTTCAAGATATCAATAGCTTTCCTTTAAATGTTAATCGCTATCTCCATTAATTGAGATGCTTTGGAGAGAAATCAACAAACTTTCAACATTAGTATTTCCATTAATATTGCTGAAAAAGATATTAGATTTAACCATTTTACATTGGCTTCCAAATACTAGAATCACAATAAACACAGAAAAAAAGAAGAAGAAGAATAAGAAGATAAATCAGATACTGATGTTGGTGTCTCTTGTGGCTATACTTTTTTCTCATTTATTGCAAGTGTCCGACATATCACTAGACCGACATAGTAAATGCAGCTCCAGGAAAACATTTTAACAGCTAAAACACAGGCAATCATAAAACTTGAATAATTTACAACACACAAAATGTTCCTTTCGCAATCGATATTTTGCTGCCCGATCCATAATGCCTTTATTTCCCAAAACCACATAAAATTAAAACAATCAATAATTTACGCTGAACTAGCAAAACACAATTTAAAACTGAAACCCAAAAATGTCAAACAACATCATTTATCTGCAAACAACAATGTCCACTCCATTAAATGCATTTAGCTTGAAATAAAATGATGTTGCATGAAAATTTCAAGTGCGAATACGAGTTTCTGCAAACAAACTAAACAAAACCAAAGAGGAAACTCCAATACCAAATGTAAATCTACATGTCCATGACTAAAATGTACAATGGCAAAATATTCTGATCACATGATCCGTAGATGCATACAGCACGCATTTAGGTATCTATATTATCGACGTTCAAACACAATTTTCAATAACCACATTCAGAAAACTTCACAAAATCTCATCTAAAGAGACAAACTTTAGCTGCAAATCCAGGTGATCACATACATATTGAACACGCACCCGACTGAAATGGGAAATACCACTCTGAAATATATATTCAACAAATTCCGTATACTGACAAATCTTCTAATCAGGTGACCCAGCCATAAACACATGCACGGGTATCAGTATCTTACAGAACTAACATTTATATACAAATTTCGAAAACCACACACAAAATCCGATGAAAAAAACTTGGATACTTCCACCCATGCATATAATCGTTGCTCTTGTACTTCCACGTATAAACAAAACTCCGTCGCTAGACAACCAATTCAGAAGTAAGAAATGAATTCAAAGCAGTAGTCTTTATGAATTTAGCAGCTAAAAGAGAGCCAAAAAAAGAGGCAAATGAAATTAAGCTACATACCTCATCTTCAGCATTCGAGTGATGCTTATAAATTGACCTAAGAAAATGGTACCGCTCCACCAGCGACTGTATATCAACCAATTTCCCAGTCGCAAACGCCAACGCCGAGCGGTGCAGACAGTCCAGCTCCAACCTAATTGCCTTATGAAAAAATAGAAAAAACAGGATCGGTGAATTCGAATTCTGCTCAGAATTTTCCTCCACAGTTCCTCCATCATCGGGCGCCGGAGCTGGAGACAGCGAGTCCAACGCATTGCTAACCGCTCCGCCACACAACACCACCGCCACTCCACCTCCACCTCCCTCTCCTCCCTGCGCGGCCATTCCGCCTCGCAAAAACTCTCACAACCCTCAAGTCTTCACTTCCTTACGACCGAAACGAAAACATATCGAAAATTTTATGCAGCATAGCAAAATGTTTTTTCGGAAGCTTTAAATATATGCAGAAAACTGTAGGCATCAATTACAGTTTTCTCTGGAGCTGACTTCAAACACACACTCTCTCTCTCTCTCCCTCTAGAAAATTCTTTTCTTTTTGAGACTTCTGTCCTGTTTTATATTTATCTGTGAATGTTTGTCCTGCTGTGGAGCTGTTGAATTTTTTAAACTCGTTCAACGTTGAAGAGGATGATGACGGGATGAGGTGGAGACTGAGGGAGCATCGAAGTCGGTGGGCTTCAGCTGCACCGGATATTGGATTATTTTCCGTTGACAAAAGCTACTATAGTAATTTCCGTCTATTTCTAACGTTTCCGGAAAAAAAAAAAAAAAAAAAAATTCCGTCTAGGTTGGGGGGGTTGTACGGCAGGTCAAAGGGTAGTAATTTGGAAGAGAGGTACAATCTGTGATGCGGGATTAGAAGGAGGGAATTCTCTGGTGTGAGGGTTGACTCGGATCCACGTAGTTTAAATTAAGCCACGTAGGATGGATGGTTTCAAGGGGAGACCAAGCTGACACGTGCCTGTGGCACGTGAGGGAGATGGATTGGCGTGGTTCCACGTGCTGTGAGGGGCTACGTAGATGTGGATGTAAAGAGTAGAGTAGTAGCGTATAGGATTAGCATGTAGGGCAATTTGCAAATTTAGTCCTGTACCAATTTTAAAATCCAAGGGAGGCCCCTTTAATTTTATTCTAAAGCCATTATAACCTATTTCAGTTTAAACTTCTTTTTTTTTTTTTTTGTGTTTGTTTTGTTTTGTTGTGGGAGGGGGGGGGGGCACTCAAGCTATCATGTTGCTAGTTAGTGTGCATTTTGTTGAGCCAAAAAAAAAAATGAAGTTCAAAATGAAGCTCATTTTTTCGTGCATCTCAACAAAAATGATCAAATTACATTCACATAATTTTACATATTTTGTACATAAAAAAGCTTATCATTAATTGTTACGTTTACAAAAACTATGTATCTTTTCTTCTTGCACAGATTAAGCATTTCATTAATACTCACGGGAACTTAGAAATTTAATGACAGTTTTGACATTCAATCTTTAAGATAAAATATGCGAGTTTTTATCCCATTTCTTAAAAGCAAACATAAACTGTCGGTCTTTATCATTGGAGGAGAATCAGAATATCATGATCAGTTGATCATAAATTCCCTATCAAGTTGTCTACTGATTGGTAATGGATACCAGCATGATTAACATCATGAACATCAGTCATCCAAAAAGTTAGTACTAGGTTAATTTGATACCATCATCTCCTGAAAATTTGACAAGACCTTATTCTTTTGGGGAAAAAAAAAGACCTAATTCTTGTTCACTTTAAATTTTGCTTAAGTTGATTATGAAAGTGATTATAAAGAATAATCTGAATCAGCAAAAGCTATTCTTTGGTGTATTATAAATTTTAGCTTTTTTTAAATATTAAAAAAAGTATAATCTAAATACAAAGAGCAAACAAGAACATAATTTAAAAAAAAAAACTAATTTTTAAAAATCAGAGTCTATAATCAATCAAAATAACCTACCAAAAAACAAGCCAAAGTGACAAACTTTCTTTTCCAGTGTAGAATGATCAGCAATAACCAAAAATGTGGAGCTTAAGTGTAACTGATTAATATTTGTAATAGGTGTTGATTAGTTTTTCAAAGGGTTAGGCAACAAGATGGCACACAAGAGGCATGTGTCCAGAGCGTGGGATGGATTAGTTGACCAATTTGAGTCGTGCCCTCGAAGGACTAAACGGTTCTTGGCTTTTCCTTTACACGTTCTCAGTCGGTCTACTGATTTTTACGTTTTCTCGGCCAATCTACAAAATCTATACTCCACAAGGAAAGGAGGAACTTAATTGGAATGGAATGTAAAAAGGGCTATAGAGGGAAGACCAGCATTTTCTATTAACATTCAGGCTGTTTCATGCTTTCATTTCTCATTTCTACTGATATTCAAACGACTTTATTTGAAAAGCTCACGCACCAAATTAAAAATACTACTCTTTCTTCCTTCTCCCTCATTCCTTACACCAGCCTTCAGAACTCAATTCCTGATCATCATGGCATCCCAAAAACACACACTCACACACTAAACCTCATCAAACTCCATATAATCGGACCTTGTCTTCAATTCATTAGCCTTCCCCAAATTTAATGGCGGGAGGTCCTTCACTAATGGATTCCTTGTTCCAACGATCCTTGGAGGATTTAATCAAAGGCCTCCGTCTCCACAACCTCGCTGCCGGCACCGCCGCCGGAACACCCGAATCCTCCACTTTTGTCTCGAAATCCATCGATGAGGTTCGCCGCGAGATCAAATCAACGGACCAACAAACCAAAACCACCGCGCTTCAAAAGCTTACCTACCTTCACTCCCTCTATGCCATCGACATGTCCTGGGCCGCTTTCCATGCAATCGAGCTCTCCTCCTCCACCATCTTCAATTCAAAACGGACCGGTTATCTTGCCGCCTCGATTTCCTTCAACTCCTCCACGGATGTCATACTCCTCCTCACTCATCAGCTCCGGAAAGACCTCAATTCGGGCAACCCCCATGAGGTAAGCCTCGCTCTGCAGACGCTTTCTTCGATTTGTACTCCCGATTTAGCACGCGATTTGACGCCCGAATTGTTTACTTTATTGAATAGCAATAAGGGGTTTATTAAGAAGAAAGCTATTGCTACTGTTTTGAGGGTTTTTGAATTGTACCCAGATTCCGTGAGGGTGTGTTTTAAGCGATTAGTCGAGAATTTAGAGAATGCTGATGTGGGTATTGTTTCCGCCATCGTTGGAGTGTTTTGTGAGCTAGCTAACAAAGAACCTAGATCGTATTTGCCTCTAGCCCCCGAGTTTTATAGGATTTTGGTGGATTCTAGGAACAATTGGGTTTTGATTAAGGTTTTGAAGATCTTTGCCAAGTTGGTGCCTTTAGAGCCAAGGTTGGGGAAAAGAGTTGTGGAGCCGATTTGTGAGCATTTGAGGCGTACTGGGGCAAAATCGTTGGCTTTTGAGTGTATTAGGACGATTGTGTGTAGTTTAACTCAGCATGAGTTAGCCGTGAAGCTTGCAGCTGAGAAGATTAGGGAGTTTTTGACTGAAGATGATCCGAATCTTAAGTATCTTGGATTGCAAGCGCTTGCTGCTATTGCACCTAAGTCCTTGAATGCTGTTGTGGAGAATAAGGAGGTTGTGATTAAGTCCTTGAGTGATGAGGATGTCAATATTAAATTTGAGGCCCTAAGGCTTGTAATGGCTATGGTTTCAGAGGACAATGTAGCAGAAATTTGTAGAGTTTTGATTAATTATGCACTCAAGTCTGACCCAGAATTTTGTAATGAGATCCTAGGGTCTATCTTGTCAACTTGTTCGAGAAATTATTATGAGACAATTGTTGATTTTGACTGGTATGTTTCACTTCTTGGGGAAATGGCGAGGGTTCCACATTGCCAGAAGGGAGAGGAAATTGAGAACCAGCTTGTAGACATTGGCATGAGAGTTAGGGATGTTAGACCGGAGGTTGTTCATGTTGGGCGTGATTTATTGATTGATCCTGCGTTGCTTGGAAATTCTTTCATCCACAGAATTTTATCTGCGGCTGCTTGGGTTTCTGGGGAGTATGTTGAATTCTGCAAAAATCCATTTGAGCTCATGGAAGCATTATTGCAACCAAGAACCAATCTTTTGCCACCTTCAGTGAGGGCTGTGTATATCCAGTCTGCATTTAAGGTATTGACATTCTCTGCGTATTTTTATTTCTATCCAGAAGAAGCTCTTGCTGCATCTATCTCAGAAGTGGGAGAGTCTGTACACAATGGTTGGTGTGAACAAAGTTCTGATTCTGTTAGTGGTCAAACTGTTACTTTTAGTGAACCAGATGAGGGGTTTAATCCAAGAATGCTGCATCAACCGCAAAAAGATGCTTCTGGAAATGATGGGAAGAAAATGATTAGCGATCTTGAGCAGGTGTCTTCCTGTTCTGTGAAGATGGGTCATTTCACCAAAGATTGTTTGGTTGGGATGGTAAATCTTGTCGAATCAACACTGAGACCAATGGCAGGTAGTCATGAAGTGGAGATACAGGATAGGGTGAAGAATGTCCTTGGTTTGATTGAGTTGATTCGACAAGAAATACATGGTTGCTTGGTCCCAAAGGAAGAAGAAAATGATAGGGGAGAACTAAAAGCCTGTGAAATTGTCAGAGTGATGCACAATGCCTTATCTGAAGAGCTTGGGCCAGTTTCGTTGAGTGCTCAAGGCAGGGTGCCTCTTCCTGATGGTTTGGAGCTTAAGGAGAATCTCAGCGACTTAGAAGCAATATGTGGTGATTTTAGAATACCTGTTTTGAGTTCATTTTCCCTTGAAAAACCTCGATCCCTGGAAAAGGATGTGGTTACAGTTTCTGACCAACAAAATGAGGAAGAGTGCGAACCGTCAAGTGAGTCAACATCTCTACTCACGGAGCATCGCAAACGGCATGGGATATATTATCTTCCTTCAGAGAAAAAGGAAAAAGTTCCAAATGATTATCCACCTGCTAATGACCTCAGTATGCAAGATAAAGTAAACGATGAGGCAGATTATCTGGTTAAACTTACAGAGAAATCACTTGTCCCTAAGAAAAAGCCAATAGCAAAACCTAGGCCTGTGGTTGTAAAATTGGATGATGGAGATAGAATACACATCAATGAGAAGCTAACTGAGCTGAAAGAGGATTTAATCTCAGATGCTGTGCAAGAGGTACTTCTAGGCAATCAAGCTGTGGCATCATCATCACGGACTGACAAGTCTGACAAATCGTCAAATAGGCGAAGTAGGAAGGAGGCCTTTAGGCCTTTGGAATCAAATGCTGATTCAACAACTGTGGAGATTGCTGAGCTTGGAAACAAGAATTCTAGAAGGATCAAACACCGTACTCATGGTAAAGAGAGAAGCCATAGAAGTTCAAAAAAGGCAACTGGTGAATCTGATCGATCAGATAGGCCAAGTAGTAGTCATCCCCATGGCAAGCACAAGTCACGGCAAAGAGCAGATGGAATGGAGAATGTGGCAGCAGAATCTCCGGTGATTCCTGATTTTCTTCTATAGCATTAGAGGACTGGGGTATTTTATCTTACCCAGAGATTGACTATCCTTGTATTAAACTTCTCTTTGTCTGAGGTCAGTTTTCTTGTAAATTGTATAGAAATTTTTTCCCCAAAAGAAATTGTGGTTTGTTTCAAAATTTTCATTTCTTTTGTTGATTTTT